CTCCCGAGGACGCCTCCTGGGTTTCCAGACACCAGGCATTGGCAGCCCCCCCGCCTTCCTCTACGTGCAGTCACAAACCTCGAGACCCCCCTTGTCCCCTCCGTTAATGAAGCTCCATCAGATCCGAGCCCCACACAGGGACCCACGAACTGATGTCTCGGTAGTGGGAATTTGCCTGCGCTAAGGGCCTGTGTGGACGCACTTAATGCATGGGAAGGGTAAGCAAGCCTGTGGGCTGTGCATCCACGTGGGAACCAGCACTGAATTCACAGCCCAGCTGTGCCGTTAGCTTTCCCCGTCTCATCGCCGAGCCTCCCGCGCACACGTGCCGCCCTGCTCACGCCTTCCGCCTCCCCCCTGGTGCTGACCAGGCCTTTTTCCATGCTCCTGGAGGAAAGCCCATGACCTTTTGTTTCTTTCCCCAGCCACAGAACAGCCGTGTTTATTTGCCTTCCTCTGGCTTTTTTTCCCCCGCTGCAGCATCCAAATGTGCAAAGGGCGGTTTCAAGTTTCCCTGCAGCAGCTCTGGTGGCCGCCGCTCCCTCCCGACTGCTTCGAGAGCCAGGGCTGCCGGCGCCTGAGCCTCGGCTACACTAGGGCACCTCTGCTCCCCTTCCTGCCGGTGCCATCCACGCCAGCAAGGCGGCTAGAGGGAGTGTAGACGGGCCCCGGCAACTCCCGATGCTTTGAGAGGCTGCAAGCTGCATCCTAAGCTCGGCACGTGCGGCTCATTGGAAAGATCCGATAGTTGCCAAATGGAATTAGGCACCTGCAGTGGGGCTGAGCTCCTAATGCCCCTTTGGGTCCTGGCTTTTCAGGACTTTTTAGGGCTCAGCCACCGTGAGCTTCACATGCAGACGTCTCTGGGCTTGGGTTGGGGGTTCAAAATCGACACGGATGGTGCTGCGGACAAGCCACAGCCCAATCCACCACAGGTGCTCAGACCCTCCGGATCCCGGGGCTCCTTCTCCCAGATGCCACAGCCGTGCAATCCTCCTCCCCCGCCGTGCAGCCTACTCTCCACCCCAGAAGCAGCCGCATCTGATCCAGGCCCCCGAGCCAGTGCTGCCCCTTCTCCACCAATCCTTTGCCACCTCCACGCACATGACCAGCTTCCCACATCCCCTTCCCCCCACCCCATTCACTAGCCCAGTGCTTCCCCCTTCCCTTTCTTTTTTCTCCTTTTGCAGGGGGGGCACGTGCCTTTCCCACCAGCCCCTGCCCAGTGAGGAGGAGGAGGAGGAGGAGGAAACGGAGACAGCCCCAGGCTCCCGCAAGTGCCGGATGCATTAGAGCGAAGGAGATGGCTTCGCCGGGCTCCGACGTGGGCCGGGAGTGCCAGGAGAAAATGGATTCCATGAATATTTGATGGCAGGGGTTCAGGGAGGCAGCTTGATTGGAAAATTACAGCTCTCTCCAACCGTGGGGTCAAGCGGCCTCGAGACACTTTGGTTTCCAGGCCTGTTCCAGTAAGAGGAGCCCCCGGTCGGGATAGGCCCCACCTCGAAAAACCCGCCCCGGCTATGAATGGGCCGAGTGGTGGCCACAAACTCTTCACCCCGGCCCCGGATCCGGCACCTCCGGGCAAGCCGGCCGGCTAGGAAGCCACGGGAGCCCAGGTGCTTGGGGCTCGGCTCAGACACTGGGGATCTAGGTCTAGGTCGGGGCGGGCAATTATTTTGGGCAGAGGGCCACGTACCAAGTTTTGGTAAGCTGTTGAGGGCACATTTCCCTCTCCAGTGCAGGGAAGCAGGAACAGCCCCATGGTCCAAGGCCAAAACCCTCTTCTAGTTGGGGGAGCAGGGATGGGGGGCCTCAATGCTGGGTCCTGCTGCCAGCTTCCCCTGGGTCCTAATGTCCCTGGCTCCTGTCATCTTTGACAGGCAGCCAGGAGCAAATAAATATTAAATTTTCTAAATGTTTTAGGGGCCCCGTGGGCCGTATTTTGCCCACCCCTGGTCTAGGTCCTGCCCAAAGGTTTCCAATCTCCTTCAGATCCTCTGCCTGAGGCCCCCATTCCTGGCAGCTCCCACCACAGCTTTGCAAACTGGTGTGCTCCGTGCGGCAGCAGTGTGGTTCAGTGGTCAGAGCACTGGGCTGAGGGTGGCCCCATCTACCCTCCCCTCGCCTCTGCTCTCCGTTCCCCGCCTTGTCTCCTGCTGTAATCTGTCAGGGCAAAGGCTGTCCCTTGCTGTGCCCATGTACAGCACCGAGCGCGGGGGAGCTTGATCTCCATGGGGCATCCAGAACATCAGCGGCAATACCCATGGGCAGACAGGATCACCCTCCCCAGGCAGAACCCGGGCCCCCCTGTCCATCCTGTCTCACACCCAGGCAGGGGCAGGCGAGCTGCAAAGCAAAGCACAGCACAGCACGGAGGTGCCTGGACATGCAGGACACCCCCTTTGTCCCCTCCACGTGTTCCCTTCTCAGCAGGTGCTGGCTTGATTATTACAAGACCCCCCCGCCCCACCCCAGAGACCCTCTTTGAACAACTCAGACTCCAGTCCAACTCCTCCAGTCCAGTGCTGCGCTCCCAGGCCTCTGGATCCCACCCTCCCTTCCATCCCAGGCCTCTGGATCCCCCCTGGATCCCTTCCTTCCATCCTCTGGTGCTTCCTCTACCAGCCACCGCTGTTTTGAAGGACCACCATGTTTCCATATTAAAACAAAACCCGAGCACCCCCCACAGCAGCCCAGACGCAGCTGGAGAGTGAAACCAAGATCATGAATGAAGCTGACCAGCCCCAGCTCCTTGCAGTCCCCAGAGCTGGCTCCATTTGCGTTCGTGGAGTCAGCGGGCCCTTTGCCAAGGGGAGCCCGTCTCTGGTTTAAATCCGTGCTGGGGCTTCGAGCGGGTAAATCCAGCACTGAATGGGCCCAGAGGGTCCTCTGCTTTCAGATCCCACCACCGGGCAAGAGATGGGAGATTTGGGATGTTGAAGCAGAGAGAGGAAGCCAAGTGCTGGGGTCCCAGGCAAGCGGCTGCACCTCTAGGCTCTAACAAACTCCCGCCCAGGACCCGACTCCGCTCCTTTTACAACCTCCAAGACCGAGGCTGCTGGCGTCTGCTCGTGGAGCAGGTAGCACAAGGCTGGGCCCCGCTGAGGCTGATACTGCCCGGAGCTCAAGCTGCAGAGATTGGAGCCATGAGGGGGACCCAGTAACATAAAGTTCCCTCGCGCTAAAGTTTTCAGCAGCCGAGGGGAAGGTACACGTATAAACCCGGCCAGCGAGGCAGCCACCCCCAGACGGCGGGACGTATCAGAGGGCCCTGGCATCAGGATGCCACACTCCGCAGGGCGTCTATGCTCAGGGCACCCCTACCAGGCAGGGGAAGGCGGCACTCCCCATTGTATGGAGAAGCAAAGCGCGGTGCAGAGACAGCCCCGAGGGGCAGAACTCTCATTAAGGGACATGGCCAAGGCCACGGCAAGCCGCGGTGGCAGAGCCAGAGGTAGAGCTTGGTTTCATTACAGAGTCTCCAAGCACTCGGCCAATCTTTGTCTTATCCTTCCCCCACCTTCGGAGAGGGCAGTGCCCCAGGTCACACCAGAGAGCTGGGTCTACAGCCAGGCCCCCTGGTTCCCACCATCTTGCTCCGACCAGTGCACCACACTCCCCTCCCACCCCCAGTCTTGGGAAGAAACCCCCAAGTGTCTTGGTTCCCAGTGCCTTTGCTCAAACTGCTTCCTCCCAGAGCTAGTAATGGGTCCTCAGCTGCCCCCCACCCCCAGTGCTGACCCCTTACTCTACATTGCTCCAGAAACAAAGTGACCCCAGCCCTCGGACATCCAGTGTGCTCACCGCGTGCCCTCCGTCCCCTCCCACGGCCAAGGCTTTTTGCCCCGCTCCTGACGGCACCCCCTGCTGGAAGAGGCTGATGATGCAGCCCCCCACACACTACATCCACGCTCTTGCCCCTGCACCCAGGTCCCACTGTGCAAGCAGAGCCACCTCCCCAGGCTCCAGGCTTTCCTCCCGCACCAGGGGACGGATCAGGGCATGGCACCAGGGCCCCGTCTCGCCTGCCAGCGGGACCTGTTGCACACCTGGCATCTGGCTACCAGATGGCCAGCCACCAGCCTGAGGCAGGGGCTCCGGGGAGGAGATGCCTCCCTCCCCTGGCAGTGCCAGCAGGGAGCTAGGTGCTACCCCCCCGAAAGCTGGCACCAAATCCCAGCCAGGACATGCACAGA